ACAGACGTGCATGAGAGTTGATACTGCGGTCCTGGGATGGCACTTGGCTGGGGGACACACTGGCAAAATTTCAGCCTCAAAGCTTTCATGATTGGTGAGTTGAAACACCCGGACAGACGAACACACACACACGCACACACACAAACAAACACACACACACACACTGACAGGATCGTTGCAATGTGCGTTTTTGCTGCCTGTTGGAGCGCTCTAGCGCTGCACGGCAAAAACGCATAAAAATTGCCTATGCGAATGGAAATTGTCCTATAAAAACCTATTATAAGTACTTCCCTATTTGTAAAGCTGATTCTTAGGTGGAGCCGGAGGCGCATAAATTTGATCAAAGAATATGGTCTGAACAAAAGAGGTTTAGACTGGATGCACGGAGATGGGGTTAGCCTTTGCTTTTATGACATTTTGGAAGCAAAAAAAAGTGTAATTGGCCAATGCACGGGCTGCCCGCGCGAAGATGCGTTTTTTGCATAGTTCTCTGCATTTTTGCCGCTACCGGCACTGGTTTTTTCGGCAAATGCTTCTAGCTAAACAAATTAAGATTGGCCGCCAGAACTGTTAGGAAACATCCCTTTACAAATTCAGCTTTCTAGCTTTCTTGGCTCCTGAGTTATCAACTTAGCCGAAAAAAACTTTGGCGGGCCCGTGCGCAGGTACCACGCTTACCCAGGGATGTTGAGTGCATTAACACCCATTTGGATGAGGAACATTACTGTAAGATTTCGGCATTCTAGCTTCTCAGATTCCCGAGTTATGAACTTACCCATAAAAAATTTTGGTGGGCTCTTACGTGGGTACCACGCAGGTAATGGCGCCCACTTTGGGGATTGGGTCCCGTACGTGCATGTAGATTAAGTTTCCAAATTTTCAGCCCTGCAGCTTTTACAGGTCTTGAGATGAAAAATCGGGACAGACGCACACACAGACACACAAACACACGGACACACAGACAACCCTTCGTCAATATGCGTTTTTGCATTGCGTAGCTGCAAAAAAAAGCATAAAAAAACAGAATTATAAGTGCTGTGTACAATCGCAGGCTGCCGAATGCGGTACGTTGAAATTGTGTGAAATCGTTGTAAAAATCCAGTCAAACTTATTCGCTCTCAGCTTCACCTAAGCATCAGCTTCATGAACAAGGAAGTTACCTCCTGAAGACGGGTTTTTGTAAAACTGTTTCCACACGCATAAACTCTTTTTTTGCTTTTTATGCGTTTTTGCATTTATGTAAATTGCAAAAACGCATATTGCGAAGAGGCTGTCTGTGTGTGTGTGTGTGTGTGTGTG